GTAGGAAAGTGCCTCAGCATTTGTAGAAAACACGTTTTAATCGTAATTGTTTCATTCAAGAAAACAGTCGAATCGACTGTATCGTCTTCCATCTTGAATTTAAAACTTCATTTGCGGCCAACGCTGACGCTAACGAGAGGCAAATTGCCGCGTAACAGCGCGTTCAATGGTTTAACACCGTTATTGTATTAATTACATTTGCAATTACCCGGGCAGGATAAGCATCGGCAAGCGAGAGTCAATTATCTAAATTGCGCGCGCGGAGTAAACCGCCCCAGAGACCATCGAAATTACCGTGTCATCGTTGTTTTTTCCTTTTTCTCTCGCCAAACAATTGTAACTCACTCCGATGATCTTGATCGTAAAACTGTCCAAAAAAATTCCATCTGTCTCTTGCAACGGAATTATTTATATGTCAGATCGAGCCGAGGCTTGAACAGACACATAACTTGCAGACATATCGCGTATAATGCAAATTTCAAAGATGCGACATTCGTTTGTAGAAATTTGTGGAATAATTCTTTTTTGTCAAAGACGAAGCTGCTTTTTTGACGAAGAAGAAACATTCCTCGGAAATATATCCAGCACGATATATGTACGATAATAAAGAGTAATAATAAAGAGAGAAATATCAAGGAATGATATTTAATTCTGAAATATTGTTCTTTAAAAATTCGCGCGAATATATAGTTTTCACTGGAAAATATTTTCACGCGTCTGTCTCTCGATACGTATACTTCAGCCGAGATTTTTGAAAAAGTGATTTCCGACAGAAGAATCCACCATTTCGTTCTATTTTCGATCATACGCGAACGTTTTATTTCCAAACACGCAACACTGTTATTACTCGGCATTATTTTGCACGATATTTGCACTATCTCGATTATGTAATATATAATTCTATCCTCGTAAAATAATAAAATCACGCGTTTATTAAACGCACACTGACTTACTGACTTACTGACCTCATACGCTCGCTTCAATATCTCTCGAAAGATGATCTACCAAATGAAATTCAAAATTTAGCTAGAGAGAGAGAGAGAGAGAGAGAGAGAGAGA